ACACATGACTATATTTAGGCTTACACATTGAGAGAATTTAATGAGTCAAAGTGCTTAGATAAACAGTTCTAAAATTCAAAACTAGACGAATATTCCGGGACGGAGGGAGTATATTGATAAGTCCGTTTTGTACGGACTTATCTTCTCTATATTTAATGTGTTGTGGTCCAATTTTGGATTAAACAAATCAATTTCTCAATGGTTTTTATATCTTTTATTCATAATTGTAAAAGTGCACAAAAGTTATGTCTTGTTGTAAAAAGAATAAAAATTGAGTCAAAAGTGGTACAAAAAGGTAAAAGATTGTGCAAATGGAATGCAACGGAGCAAAGGAGCAAAAGATGGCGAAAATTCATGAAGTGAAAAATGTGCATTCAAATGTGGCGATGCACCCCGTCAATAGATTTGAGGTCAAACGGATTGAAAAAGCACCAAAAAGAAATTGTTTTGAAAGAAAAATGTAAAAAAAGTTGATTTGATTCAAAAATAATTTGTTTGACCCAAATTGGTTCGGAATTTGAAGTCGACACAGAAGGAAAAGTTGTTCAGAATAAAATTTTGAGCAAGAATGTATTTTTAGAAAATATTTCCGGACCGGATTAAAATCCGGCCAACCAGGTGCTGCCACGTGGCGCAACCTGGCTGGCCGGCCAAGTGTGGCAGCAATGCAGCAGCAGGCCAGCAGCAAGTGTGTGGATCTCCATGAATTAAAGAAAAAAAAAAGAAAGAAAGATAGAAAGGAGTTAGTGGAGTGACGCATGAAGAAACAAAAGAAATATACTCCATAATCCTTTGATTTGCAAAACCAGCACATCAGCCGCACCTCCTCCCTTTTCAGCATAGGCGTGCGCCTGGACCTCAGGCCCACGCCTGTCAGAGGCCTGGACCGAAAATTTCTCCTATAAAAGGAGGGCTTCGCCCCTTCATTCTAATCAAGCTTTCTTCCGGGTCTTTAAGGCCCGGAACTCCATTCTCCGCTCTTTTCTCAGTTATATTTTAATATTTTAGTTTACTTTTGTTCCGATTGTCCCAAAGTGGCTCCGACTCTGCCTTTTGTTGTAAGTTTTAATACTTGCAATTTTAATAAAATGCTTTCTTTTATGCACTGTTAATATTTAGTATGGGTTAGGACCCAGATTAGGGTCTTGGCTAAATTTGGGCATATACTCTGTATGTTTATTTAATAGTTGGAATAAATGTTCTAGAACTATTTTTATTGTTAAATTAATTAGTTATGTCGAGAGAAAAATTAATTAATAATTGGAAATTAGTTTTTGCCTTGTCCATGAGGATATAAAATTAATTAAGCCAAACATTTTAGAACACATTAATGTTACCTTGAGAGAGGATAAGTTAATGAAATATTTGTGACAGAAATATTATTATTCCAATTATTGATTAAATATGTGACAACAGTAGTTAACTCAGATGATGCCTTGGCCCGAAGTCTAGTCCTATACCCGTACTATTTATTTTCTTTTTCTCAAAAACATCCAGTAGTTTATTTTTATTATTATTTTCAAATCAAATCGAGAAGACTTTCAGACCCGTCCTAACCTTCGTCTAGTTAGAAAAATTAGCTAATTCCCTTCGTCCACTCCTCGAGAGACACGACACTCGGAGAAAACTAACCCTTCATTGGGAAAGTTGACTTACCGAAAAACTCAATCATCATATATCAATTGTTTGTTGGACACGATTTTATTATGTGGCATGAGTTACCATTTATCTAATTAATTGATCATTGACCTAATAAATACCCTACGTATTTATTTCGTAATTATTCGATGGACGTAATTACCCTTATGACCTAATTAGAGTTTCCCCTTGGGTGTATATAAATAGAGGTCATTAGGCAGAGATCAATACACCGATCTTACGCCTCCTCTCTGCCTCTCTATTCTCGTGAGTCTCATCCTCACCTTAGCCATCATAACAATACACCTTAAACGGGAACTCGATCTGCGTGAGAATCATGGCCTCATCTCTAACTACGTTTACAGAATTATCAGGTACACATGATAAAATCTCTAATTTATATTTTATGTTTAAGAATTAATCAACATTGTTATTTGCGAAAAGGGTGATTTGGCCAGGGTGTGCTTCTTTGCTCCCGCCTTTCCAGTGAATTTCTCCACGTCCAGCTTGACCTTACGCCTCAATTTTTGTGCATGTACCCTGGCTGAAAAGGGTGATTTGGCCAGGGTGTGCTTCTTTGCTCCCGCCTTCTCTTCCACCTTTTCCTCCAGGGCACATAGCTTTCTCGCTACGCTCCCTATCTTGTCCAGGTCATCCTCATCATATGAGAGCCTGGTATATGCCGATGCCCTGGGCTGGCTTTCAACTNACAAGCCAAGACATGCACTGTTCAATCAAAGACTAACATGGATATTCTCAATCCAATCAATCCTGCAAAACGCCAATCATTCCCTTCACTGTTTGCCTCGTGATGGATGAGCGGCGGGGTGTCCTCTAGCCTCTGATGTTGATTGCCCTTCTCAAGTAGCGCAACATGACCGGTCACCTTTCCTCAAAGGTTACCCGGTCATTTCTTGAGTTCAACCCATCTCTTTGGTCATCTGGAATGTCCTTCGCAACATTAAGTGGCGAAATGGCTATCGCCCCAAATGTGACCGGTCACTTTTTTAGGGGAAGTGACCGGTCAATTTTTGACCCGTCCCAATCGAAGAGTTGACATCATTTGGTGACTTGAAAAAAGTGACCGGACATATTTTGACCTGTCCCTTTCGGTTATCCGGGTCGGGTATAAGGATATACCCATCAAGAAGTCCTCCACTTACCGGCTTTGTGAGGAAAGCATCAAGGGCGGAAAGTATACTTATGTTAACCCATCACCTTTGAATTCAACGAGTCTTCTCTCATGACCTGTCCTTTTGAATCACCAGGTCTCTCTCATGACCTGTCCTTTTGAATCACCAAGTCCCTCACATGACCTGTCCTTTTGAAATCATCAAGTCATTCCCATGACCTGTCCTTCTTTGAAATCATCAAGTCATTCCCATGACCTGTCCTTTTTTGAAATCGTCAAGCCATTCCCATGACCTATCCTTCTTTGAAATCGTCAAGCCATTCCCATGACCTGTCCTTTTTTTGAAATCGTCAAGCCATTCCCATGACCTGTCCTTCTTTGAAATCGTCAAGCCATTCCCATGACCTGTCCTTCTTTGAAATCATCAAGTCATTCTCATGACCTGTCCTTCTTTGAAATCATCAAGTCATTCCCATGACCTATCCTTCTTTGAAATCATCAAGTCATTCTCATGACCTGTCCTTCTTTGAAATCATCAAGTCATTCACATGACCTGTCTTTCTTTGAAATCATCAAGTCATTCTAATGACCTGTCCTTCTTTGAAATCATCAAGTCATTCCCATGACCTATCCTTCTTTGAAATCATCAAGTCATTCTCATGACATGTCCTTCTTTGAAATCATCAAGTCATTCACATGACCTGTCTTTCTTTGAAATCATCAAGTCAATCCCATGACCTGTCCACTTTAAGGCTCCTCAGACCTGGCACTTTGCGGATCATCACACGTATCACTTTGGAGTTCATCAGACCTGGCGCTTTGGGGTTCATCAGACTTGGCACTTTGGAGATCATCAGATCTGGCGCTTTTTGGGTTCATCGGACCTGACACTTTGGAGTTCATCAGACCTGGCGCTTTTGGGGTTCATCGGACCTGGTACTTTGAAGATCATCAGACCTGGAACTTTGGTAATCATCAAGTCTTCTTCTTAGACCTATCACTTTTGAAATTATCAAGCCTTCCTCTCGGACCTGTCACTTTTGTAATAATCAAGTCTTCCTCTCGGACTTGTCACTTTTGTAATCATCAAGTCTTCCTCTCGGACCTGTCACTTTTGAAATTATCAAACTCTAAATGATTGACCGGTCTACTTTTTTTTTCTTTTTAGACTTCTGCCATGTAAGTCCTCCTAGTCCTCCTAGTTCTCCTAGAGTACCCGGTCAAGTGCCCAGTGCACACCCCTTTACAAGTTCCCAGTCAAGTACCCGGTTATATGATGCAAAGAGGTTGGCCACTATTTTTCCCGGCTCGTCTTAAGAGTAGAAGGGTTCACATAAGAGTGGGGAGGGTTCTATGAAAAAGAACGCTGGCCCTCTTCAAATGGAAGGGTCACCAATTGAGGAGGCTTTCATGGTCCGGTCGTATTCCTTTGTGCTTGGTTGAACTTCTTGAATGGTTAAATTTTTTGCATGATTATTTTCCTTCCTGGTCCCCCTTTGAAGTTGACTGGTTAGACTTGCATTGTTGTTTTCTTGCTTGGTCCTCCTCTGAAATTGCCTGGCTAGACTTGCATGGTTGTTTTCTTGCTTGGCCATCTCTTAGGAATTCTTTTTAGAATGTCTCGGTCATCTCATGTCTTGGTCTTGAAAACATCCAAGTCCAGTAGGCTTGGTTGAAACTTTTGAAGGACGTCCGGGTCTAGTAGGTCCTGGAAACATCCTGGTCTAAACTTTTATTCTCATCAACTCCTGAAAAGTCCTGAAAACATCCGGGTCATCTCATGTCCTCGTCAAGTGCAAGTCTTGAAAACGTCCAGGTCATCTCATGTCCTGGTCAAGTGCAAATCTTGAAAATGTCCGGGTCATCTCATGCTTGACTAGTCTTCTGGACCGGCTTACTGCTAGTTTGATGCTAGGTTGAGCTGCAACAAATGTCCAGGTCATCTCATGTCCTGGTGTAGTAGGTTAGGTTGAAAGTTTTGAAGATCACTTTAGACGCAAGGCTTGAAAACTTCCAGGTCATCTCATGTCCTGGTCTCTTGACTTGAAAATGTCTAGGTCAGTTTCTTCCCGGCTTGTCTTCTGACCCAGTCAACTTCCAGGTTAGAATGTGACACTCTTCTAGGTTGAATTCTTCCTGACCAACTTCCAATGGCTTGGTTGCAATATGTAACCAGCATGACGTCGAATTTCCCGTCCAGGTGCCGGGTCAAAAAGATGACCGGTCAAAAATGAAGTTTTCCAGATCTGCCTGATTTCCTCAAATCCAACCCGAAAAAAGTGACCGGTCACTTTTCTCAAAGTTGACCGGTTAAATTTTAATTTTTTTCCCATTCGCATTTTCTTGCCAATCCAGAACATCAAAAAGTGACCGGTCACTTTTGACCATGCCACTTTCCTTTACCCCTTTGGCCTGGATGTCATGCCTAACAGCAACCTTGCTCAAATTTCGAACGAATAATCCGAAATGGTTTTGGAATCATCAAGTCTCAACATCAAGACCCGACCTTTCTTTGGAGATTTTGACCATGTCCTATGATCGCGAACCCTCTCCAAGGTTCAGCCCTCTTCCAGGCAACACCCTTCTTCCAGGGCCCCTCTTCCAGGTTTTAAGTCTTTTAATGTGCCATTCTTTAATTATTAGGTTGACCTAGCCAACCTAATCTTCCCACATGGGGGTATGCCGGTGAGAACCAGCCCTCATCCAATCCTGCACGTCCATATATTATGTGTTCGGAAATTCTAGTCTTCCCTAGACATTCCGATCCACAAAGGATGGCTCATACAAGACGGTAATATATTTTTTGGCATCTTTTCTAACCCTTCCCGACCAAAAAGTCGGTAGGGATCCATGTAAGTATGGATGCGAATCCTCTTCCGGATCCAGCCTATCTCAAGGCGATACCTCAACATCAATGCCCCTATCTCAAGGGTTTCTTTTTTTTTGTTTTTTTTGTTTTTGCTATCAGCCCATGCAACGGTCCAAGTCCTAGACATCAAGACTGATCC